TTACGGTCCAAGAATGTTCTTGGGCTGTAAACTCTTTTTTACTACCCAAATGGTGTGATTTTCGTGTTCAAATCTCGTACATGCAAGTCCTTAAGCCATATCTAAGCACTAGAAGGGACTTGGAAGGGTTTTGGGGCTTCAAAACCCCTTTAAGGGAGTTTACGGTTTTGGGAGGTGTTGCAAAACCGTAAACACAAGTTTTTGATGGTTTTGGGTGGTTTAAAAATGAGTTCGCATGATAAACAAGCTTAGAAACATGCTAGGATAGATTGCTTACTAATTTGAAGCTTGAAAGGGGTGTTTTGGGCTCAAACTCGAGTTTTAGAGAGAGAGTAGAGAGATAAAGTTTATGAGGTGGGTAAAAATTCTTCAAAAGATGACCACTCATCCTTTATATAGGGGTTGGGTTTGAGACCCGGTAGAAATCTACCCGATACCAACGTTAAACGGGGTTTAAAATTTTACCCGATTAATTTGTCATAATTACGATTTAGTCGTAAATAAAATTTTCCAAATAAATAACGAGGGTATTTTTACGCATTTCTATTACGTCCCGACACTTATGATGTCAAAAATAAAAAATCCCAATTTAATTAATTTAAACCAAAAATTAACGGAAAAATTAGAATACGAACGGTTTTATTAACGGGAATGGGTTACATTGACGGAATAAATTACGGGTTGTCACATTATCCCTCCGTTAGAGAAAATTTCGTCCCAAAATTTAAAATTAAGATACAAATCATAGAATCGAAAAGAGATGTAGATACTTTTGTTTCATCGAGTCTTCGCGCTCCCAAGTGAATTCGGGTCCCCGCTTGGCATTCTAGCGAACCTTCACTATCGGGATGCAACTTTGTTTCGTACATTTGATCTCTCGATCCATGATTTCAATGGGTTCTTCCACAAAGTTCATGTTTTCGTTGATCTCGATCTCGTCAAGAGGGATAACGAGGGTTTCATCGGGATAGACACTTTTTAAGATTAGAGACGTGGAAGACAGGATGAATGTTGCTAAGTTCTTCAGGTAGTCGGAGTTTATAGGCTACGGGACCGATCCTAGCGATGATCTTGAAAGGTCCTATGTACCTCTGGTTAAGTTTTCCATGCTTTCCAAAGTGTATCATGCCTTTCCAGGGCAAGATTTTCAAAAGGACACGGTCTCCAACCTAGAATTCTAAAGGTTTCCATCGTTTTTCGGCGTAACTCTTCTGTCTGTCTCGTGAAGCTTTCAGTCGTTCTCGGATCTGGATAATCTTCTCGGTGGTTTCACGGATGATTTCAGAACCAGTGAGAGCACTGTCGGGGACTCGACTCTTGACTATCTGCGTGTCCCCTACCTCGGCCCAGCACAGAGGGGATCTGCTCTTAGAACTTTATGTTTGGAATTTATCTTAGATGTCTCACAGGTCGAAGTGTTGGTCTTGATAAAGGAAGATTAGAGGTCTATGCTATGGTAGCTGGCATCTACTATGATGTTGCAGTTGATTATGCTACACAGATGTGGAAGGAATTTTTTATGAGTGTTGAAAATACAAATGTGTTTGATGGGATTTCTTGTGAAAGATACTGGAGTAAAATTTTCCAAAAATAGTTGAATGTGATGCAGAGGTATTTCCTAATGTTACAGAATCCTGATGGTATGCTCCAAAAGGTGGATCCTTCAAATTCCATTTTAAAAGATACTTGCATACTATCAATCCATCAATCGAGACTGGTGTTCTATGACCTCGATATGATGAGGGTTCTTCCAAACAGTCTAGAAGATCAAAGAAGGTTAAAGAGAGTCCTTTGAAACCAATTTAGGAGAAGAAAAGTTCTAAGCCTCCAAAGAAGAAACAAAATAAAGAAGTTGTTGTTTCGAAGCCTGAGGAAAACCCAATTAAACCAGAGTCTGTTGATCCTACAAAGGAAGCGGTTCCTTCGAAGACAGGGGTGTTTAAACGGATCAAGAAGATAGCTCATAATTCAAGGAGTTCATCTGAAAGGTCTCCTAGTTTTTCTCCTTCGATGATTCGTAAACCACATGTTACACAAAAAAGTGTGGTGCTTCGTGAAGTTCCTATTCCCGTTTCTCCATTTGTAAAGAAATGAAAGGTTTAAGATATAGCTAAACATATTTCAAAGAAGCAGCAAATGAAATTTCACAAGTTGGTCCTTAATGATGAATCTACGGAAGAAGAAGTTGTTAAGGACCCTCTAGCACAATCAACTGTCGAAATGATTGTTATCTCTTCACCAGTGTCTACACAAGAGCCAATTATTGTTTCTCTACCTTTGGTGTCAAATGTCGAAACTTCACACCCTCAAGGTATCCCTATTATTGTTTCTTCTATCTTCAAAACTTCAGCAATTGACACTTCCACTAAATTCCCTTCAGCCATTTGTTTCTACTTTTGATACTTTTCTTAATCAACCGATTACTTCCTTATTTTGTTCCCAATCTACCGCCCCACTTGTTACTCATGAAGACCCTAAAAATCAATCTGATTATGATGAGAATATCTTCAGTGGGACTTTTGAAGATATTGAGTTTGATCAAGAAGAGGAGGACATTCCAGATAATATGATTCTTACAGGCAAGCAGTTCAAAATCCTGAATCGAAAGCTTAATTCTTTGTTACAAGTTCAAGATAATAGAGGAGGGAAACATTTTTTATCAAGTTTGGAAGTTGATCTCATGCTCAAACGTTCTGAAAGTCATCTTAATGAAGCTATTCAAGAGGTTAACAGAAATAATGAGAAAATGGTGAAAAATCAGCTATCCATGTTTGCTTTCGATCACAAAGACTTGAAGGATGTTGCAAAGGAACGCCATGTCTTGTTTATTCAAGATGTCAAGAAGGTAAGGGAGGATGTGAATTTAAAAATTCAAGAACTTCGAGAATATATGGGCAAGGAAATAGCTAATGTGCAACAAGACTATGCTTCATTAAATCAGAAGTTTAACATAATTGCTGATGCAGTTACTAAATTTGTCAAGTTGTATGAAGTTCTTGGTCCAAAGGTTGAGCAAGGATGCAGTTCATAATTTTTCAGAAATCAACAAGTTCTTAGAAGAATTAAAAGCGCTTGTTTCGAAGTCAGATTCATCTTCTCTGATAACTCCTTAATTTTTATCTCAGAAGTTTTGTTTCATTGAAACTGTTCTTTAAAAAGAGTTATCCCCGTTATCACAGCTTGTCAGTTTTCTACCAACAAATCCCCCACCTGTTATCACAGGGTGTAAGGGGGAGAAAGAAGGCCTGTTGGTAAGGTGCTTCTGGGAAAACTGAAGATGAAGTCAAATTTGTTGGTAAAGTGTTTGCAACGAACATTCCTACAACAAGACCAATAATATTGAAAGTTGATCCTATGGTTTCTACTGTTACAACTACAAGAACCAATTTCCAAAGGTATTCTTATTGGGACAACTGGTGAAGGAAGTGCATCGAAACCAAAAGAAACTACAACAAATCAAGATAGGGGAAAAAGATGAAAATTGAAAAATAAAAGGAATAAAGGAAGGCAGAGATAGAGGCTGAAATGGAGAAACAACGTCAAATCATAAGTCTATCGAGGCTTTGTCAAAATGATCCTCCAAATCTAAAAAAAAGGAGATACAAGGAAAATGCATAGTTATGAGAACATCGAAGCAAGTGTGGCTTATAACGAAATGCATGATTTCGAAAAGATGCCTAGGAAGAGTTATGCTATCGAAAACACAGAAATGAATCAACTGGATTTTTCGATAAGCGAAATGATGTTTGTTACTTCTCAATACAAGATTGTTGATCAATTCAAGAATCTAGATGATTTTACTCATATGAAGCTGAGAGTTCATGCAGTCTTGGGAAAGGATCGGGAGGAGGTGTGGTCACTAGTGAAGATTGTCCAAGTGATAAGTGTTACAAAGGATGAATTGTTCGAGAATATGTTACAAAGTTTCAGATACCATGCTGTGAGGACTAACAAGGTCACTTGTAATTTCTCAATTGCTGACTTTCCTTTGATGAACTAGAATGATCAGATTCAAGTTGCATATATACTCAAGGATTCAGATGCCTCGAAACTTCAGGGCACAAGAAAAGATGTGTTGCATTTGGAATTAGGACATCTCAAGATTTTCATAGACAATTATTATGATTGTCTAGCATTGACTGATATTGAATTAGCAATGTCAATGGGAAAAGAAATTTTTGTTCCTCAATCAATGTTGAAAATCCAAGCAGATCTGAAGAAGTATGTTAATGGTGAGATTTGTTTGAAACCTTATGGACTAGTATTCTTTGGTGAGAACAATAAGAGAAAACAAATGAAGTTTTTGTTCCAAGCAAGTGATGTTGAAAGATATACAATTGCCTAGTATACACACTTAATTATGCGTATTAATAGTTGTAAGAAGAACAATGAAGGTGATAAAGTTGACTTGAAGACAATTATGAATTAGTATGCTGAGATTTGAAGAACACTGCATAGAGTTGCTCAAGTTTTGATCAATTGATTTCGACACTTATTACAAAGCAAGAGAATGTTATTGTCGAATATGTTGTGATGTGTCGAAGTCATTGATGTATGTTTCGAAAGTCTTTTTATCTATTTACTAAAGCATATTATGTTTCAAAGTCTTGATGTTTAGCCCTTAGTATTTTTTTGTATACTTTTTGATTCTCCTATAAATAGGAGTTGTACTCAAGGTTAGAGAAAACTTTTTTAAGCTTTCTGTCTGAAACTCTATGTGTATGTGGAAGTATAATTAAGATATAAACCAAATCTTATTTACTATTCGTGTTCATATTACTTTGATTACTCTAATTACATTGATACTCGATTAAAACACTACTACAGTCCAGTCATCCTCGGGATGGAATACCCCAAGCCCACAACCATTGGGTTGGAATGCCGACATACTACGAGTCCAATCATCCTCAGGATGGAATACTCACGGCCCACAACCATCCTGTTGGAATGCCCAAGTCTATTGGCTCTCTCACAAAAAAGATAAGCCTCACCCACTAATCAAACATGTACACATATATCAGATAATCACATAACAATCTATAGGCAGACAAACTGATCTAACCGGTCATAACAACACAATAACGTTCTATCTACCAGGATACCGATCTAACAGATCATACTAGCATAACATCATCCTATCTACCATGATACTAATCTAACAGATCATAACAGGATAACACAATCCTATCTACCAGGATACTGATCTAACACATCATATTAGCATAACATATTAGGATAACAATCTAAAAGGGTCGGCCATGGTGCCATAGACCCTTGAGTATAGTGAGGAAAACTCACCTCACAGATGTCGAACTATAGTAATAATGTCAAACTCTCGAATCATAGGCACGAAATCCACCACCTATATTCACCACAAGACCACTTCCTTAAATTCTCAATTTACTAAAATACCCCCAGAAGTCAAAGTGGTCAACCCTTGGTCAAAGTCAAAGTCCACGGTCAAGATCAACAGTCCATGTTGACCCAACTTGTCGAGTGTAGCTCACTGACTCGTCGGGTCCTTCCAGAACTCGAGAAGACGTGAAAACCCTCGTTGACTCGCCAAGTTTCTAGATAACTTTTCGAGTCCATGTGTGTCCAAAAGTCGGTAAAATCCTAACTGACTCGTCGAGTCGTCTTACTGACTCGTCGAGTCCATGCAAGTACCAACAACGGTCAATCTTCATCGGACTCATCGAGTTGACCATGCAACTCGTCGAGTCCATTTCCCATTCAGACGTTTTTAAGCTACTCCAAAGCTCCAACTTGTAGATCTGGCTTCCTAAGGCACAAATTCCACATAAAGTTGCAAACTTTGCGTGCATGCAAGGTCTTAAAGGCCTATAATACCAAAACTAAGTCTACAATGTGGTTTAGGGCATGATGAGAGGTTAAAACTAGATAAAGATAATAGCTTTCTGAATTTGGGACCTAGAGGAGTCCGAATCTGAGACCGTATCTTCTAGACAAGTTCAAATCCAATGACCCCATTTTGCTTCAAAAATGACCATATTTATGCATGAGAGAAGATCTAAAAAATGGAAAGCCAAGGTAAAGACTTTTTACCTTCAAAAAAAATGCTAAAATGAAGTAGATGTTATATCTATAGGCTCCTTCTCGCTCCAAGCTTCTAAGTCTTCAAATCTCTTCAAGAAATGCACCAATACACACTCTTTTAGCCTCACACACTAAAAAATGGAGAGTTAGCTTGCTAGGGTTTACTACTAGACGATAGGCTAGTAAGGGGGCAGGGGAGAGGAATTAAGATTCTTTTAATAGGGTGCAAACCCTAAAAATTAGGGCTTTCATAAGCATCTCCTACTCATTGAGTTAGGGCACTCTGACTCATCGAGTAGGTCCAATAATGCACGCGGTCTAACCCACCTCTAAACGACGAATCAGGGCAACCAACTAGTCGAGTAGGTCCATAAACATGTACATGATGCTTTAAAACTTATACATAGGAGTCGGGGTGTTACATATAATCTAATGGCTCGGTATTGGTTCCTTAGACCCACATGTATAATGCAAAGACTCACCTCAATCAATCAACAAACAGATTTCACACACGAGCTACTGGTGCTAAAGCCTCTCCCACTAAACATAACCAACACCAAAATGCTAATTAGATATTAAGGTAATTACCCTAACTTAGCAAGCCAGAATACCATGAAAAATCCTAATTTGGGAAAAATACCATTTTTCCCTTCCAAGTCCTAAGCCCTCATAATTTACCAAAACTCAAACTCATCAAAAAAGCAACAGTCAACCTTGTTGACTTACACGCTCCATACTCAAGCTCTACGTTGGGCATAGAGTCTTACTCGAAAAAATAGGTGCCAAACAGGCTATGAGCTAGTTATCCAAGATTATGGTGGATCTTAACAAAATGAAAAAATAAGTGCAGGAGAGCTCTCGTGATATTATTGATGAACAAAAAGAGAACAGAAGGCAATTATAAATAGTAGAGTTTTACAACTGAAAAGTAAAGGGTGGATATATGGAAGGACTTAAGTAAATGCATAAAAATTGAAAGACTTATAGCAGTTACTAAGCCAGTCAAGAGAGTTATTATTTTCATGAGAAACTTTTAATCAATCTTCAATACTCCCCTTTGATTCAAAAGTACCAACACCGATTTTTGCACAAAGATATTCAAAACGAACTGCTGGAAGAGCTTTGGTAAACAAGTCTGCTTGTTGTTCTTCAGTTCTGCAAAACTTCAGCTTGATGCTTTCATCCGCCACTAGATTTCTTTTGAAATGATGCTTAATTTCTATGTGATTGGTTCGACCATGCATGATAGGATTTTTTTCATTGCAATCATGGATTGATTGTCATAGTAGCTCGCAGTTATTTCAGTTTGTTCTTGCATGAGATCATTCATATGTTTTCTTAACTAGATTGCTTGAAATGCTGTGATTGAGGCTGCCACATATTCAGCCTCTGTTATGGATAATGCTACGATTTCTTGCTTCTTTGATAACCATGAAATAATTCTAGTTCCCATATTAAAATAGTTTCCAGTTGTGCTCCTTTTATCTTCTTGTGACCTTGCCCGATCACTATCAGTAAAGCCTTCCAACAGTAGTTTCTTTGACTTCATATACCATATTCCATAATGCTTGGTGCATGCAACATAACGAACGATCCTTTTTACCGCTCCAAAATGATGTTTTATAGGTGAATGCATGAACCTAGATACCACACCAACATCATAGCTTATGTATGGTCTTGTGTGTGTAAGATATATTAGCCTCCCAACTATGTTACTGTACATCTGGGGTTCTGCGATTCCTGTACTATCCGAACTTACAAGCTTTCCATTAGTATTCATAGGTTTTGCAATGGGTACTTCATTCACTACATTGAGATCTTTTAGCATGTTTATGACATATCTCTCTTGTGCAATAAAAATACCCTTGTAGGTTTGTTTTACTTCGATACAAAGAAAATAATGTAACCTTCCAAGATCAATCATCTCAAAAGTTCTCATCATTTCCTCTTTGAACTGTTGTATGAGTTTCATTGAGGACCCTGGATATATCATGTCATCTACATAGAGACTAATCAACATGAAATATTTCGTGCCTTGCTTCTTATAGTACATATTAGGCTCTTTGGGACTTTTCTTGAATCCATTTCCCAAGAAGAAACTGTCAATTTTGCTATTCCACGAGCATGGGGCCTGTTTAAGCCCATACAAAGCCTTTCGTAACTTGTATACCTTCTCCTCCTGCCCAGTTACTATGAATCCTTCAGGTTGCTAAACAAAGACTTCCTTTTTAAGATCTCCATTCATGAAAGCCGACTTAACATCAAATTGATAGACTTCCCACTCTCTTTGTGCTTCTAATATAAGGATCAATTGTATTGTTTCTATCCTTGCCACCACAAGAATGTTTCATCATAATCCACACCTTCTTCTTGCCTAAAATCTCGAGCGACTAATTTGGCTTTGTGTTTTTGTAGACTCCCATCAGCTTTGAACATAGTTTTGAAGACTCATTTTAGTGATATAGGGTACTTATCAAATGGTAGTTCCACGATTTCCCAAGTATTGTTCTTCTCAATAGCACGAATCTCTTCCTCCACTACTCTTCTCCATCTATCATCTTGAAGAGCAACATTCGTTGATATAGGATCACCCGCAAATAGTGCCATTATGCTTGCATAAATATCTACTAATGTTCTGGTTTTGAGTGGTGTTGTTTCTGGTGATGTACTGCTAGGAGATGTTGTGTTTGATCTTAGATGAGTAACTTGTGAAGACACTCCATGCGAGGAACTTGAACTTGAGGATGAGATGTTTGGCGAATGTGTTAGAGTAGTTAGTGCTTGATCATGAACTTCTTCTTCCTCAAGTAACTCAGGTTGAACTAAAGTATTGACTTGCTCTTGTTTAGTGTGATAACTTGCATATTCTTCGAAGACTACATCCTTACTAACAACAATTTTCTTCTTTATGGGATCAAAGAGTCTATAGGCCTTTAATTCACTACTAGAAAAACAGCCTTTTACGACGCTCATTGCGTGTCGTAAAGGGCTCAGACGACGCGCAAATGTGCGTCAAGGAAGGTCCTGTCATAAAGAGAGATGACGCGTTTTTTCGTGTCATCTATAGACGACGCTCATTTACAACGCACAATTACGACGCGCGTTTACGACACGCAATGCGTATCAAGAAAGGCCCCATCATAAAGGAAGACGACACACTTACGCGTGTCATAACCTTACGATGCACGTGTTAATGACACCCAATACGTATCAAGAAAGCCCCTATCAAGAAAGGTCATGTCATAAATGATGATGACACACATTTTTACGTATCATAATTTTAAATGTTTAAAAAAAAAATTATTTATAGATTTACTAATTTTCAAATTAAATTTTTATTTAATGTCTCATAATATAAAATAAAATATCATATACAAAAAATACAATCCATTGCATAAAATTTAATGTCATACAAATAATCATATACAAAAAATACAATCCATTACATAAAATACAATCCCTAACTACCATGTAAGGGACACCTTGTTTCAGATATCATGTAAAAAACAAATCCTCCATGTCAAAAAATTGGTTGTTGTCCATCGAGTGTAGATGACAAATAATGACTTGAACATTAGCTGAAACCAAAAATCTTTTATTAATCACACAATCAAAAGGCTGAAACCAAAAAGCTTTTAATTACACAAGAAACAACACATCATCATGAGAAACTACTAACCTGCCCTAAATGGAGGAAGTAGTTTTCTCCAGCCAACTTTGTTGGTGTGGACTGATAAAAGTTATATCATGTCCTAGCAAGCTGCAAATAATACATATCAAAATTATTAGCAACAAAAATAACAGACCTCTCTCGCCAGATTCAGGAACTTCATTGATGTCTCCCACATCTCTCTGTTTTAATAACTCATTAGTTTGTTTTATATATACAGCTACAGTTGTAATTTTATCTAGAATTAAAATTTACCAACTCACTTGTTTATAAATAGAATGAGCTTGTAAATATTTGTATGTAAGGTTGGTTTATACTTCACTTCTTGTAGATTGGTAATAGGAGGGCATATATTGTTACCAACAGTCTTACAACACTAAATATACACACATAAGCCCATCTTCTGCACCAGACATCTCTTGCTTTTTTCTTTGCTCAATCACATCTGTTGGTATTTGCCAGGTGCTCAACTAATCAACCAACCAGATAAAGATTAAACTTTCATAAGATACAGGATGTTATAAAAACAGAAAGTTAGTAAAACAAAGTTAAAAATAGAGCTCTGTCTCAGTTTACCTTAGTTTTAGCCATCATTTGTGGCTCAGCCTTCACAACTTCAGCTAATGACATAAAGGTTTATTACCTCAAATGTATTCCTATCAATTCCTTCACTTGTTCCTTCAATCTCCCCACTGTTTTATAAACGAGCTATTGTTTCCACCTGTGTGAGTTCCCATCAATATTGTTTCCACCTTCATAAAAGACTTACAATATGATCTTAGAAAGGTCAAGAAGACTTACAAGATGAACTACAGGATGTGCATAAACACCTCCATGTGGATAGAAAGCAGCATATGGTGGCATCATATACTGATTTTGTGATTTTGCAAGTACAAAAAAGTCAGCAGAAAGGTCAACCCAATAAATCTGAATGAATGAAGATAACTGTTTGCATGTTATACCTGTTGAGGACCCCACATATAAGGGCGAGGGGCATGACCAGATGCAACAACAAGATTGTAGTATGGTGGTAATGTTGAGAAGTGAGATTCATCATCTACCGCTATTTCTTTATCTTATCATCATCTACATCATATGTTATATAGATTCATTTCATAAATTTACCACAAAAGGGCAACATCTAATATAAAACAAAGCTTAGTTACCTAGGGCAGATTTGGAATCTTCAAAACGTGATGGACAAGAAGCATCAACTACAAAGATAACAGCATATGCCTCCTCTTAATATTTCTCCCAAATTGAACGAAGACCAGACTGTATAGATACTCATGAACCAATGACAAATTAGAAAAAAAAATAACAGTAACACTACACTTTTCTATAAAAATCTCTAGTGCTTGCTATTATTATGCTACTTTTTAAGATAAGATCATAAGAAAAGTTGGGAAATTTAGAAGGTATGAGATAAAAGGATTGGTTGTAAATACCTGACCTCCAAGATCCCAAAACACAAGTTTTGTATTAGAAGTTTCTATTCGACCAATATTAACTCCAACAGTAGGAACAATTCGATCAGTGGGGAAGGCCTTCTAAGCTTGAATATTGTGTCTTCAATGTCTCCAGTAAGGTCTAGACATAAACAAAGTATTGCTCATGTCTAAATAGGCTTGTTTTACTACAGACAAAATGCACAAATTACATAAAAGTATGTAATAATGAAAGAGTAGAGAAATGATTACTGTTTTTCTAGCCTTGTCTATCTTTCTTTCTTGCTTTTATTCTTCTTAGTTCTTCTCCACCTTATAAAAGGAGAAATTGGAATTCCTTTTCCTAATTCAAATTCTGCATAAACTGCATCTGGAAAACAAAAGGGAATCTCCATATCAAGATTTGTGGCAAATGGATATGCTTAGCTCAACAAAGAATATTAAAATCAAATACAAACTATAGAACACACTAATTTCATCTCCAACAACCTATGTAGTCTTATGGTTATGATTTTAGCATATTATGGTGAATCAACAATGTATATAGGACTATCAATTACCATTCTTTTATGAGTTATGACCACCATGTAAATAGAGTTAAATTACTTCATGACACGAGCTTGTTGATCTGGATTCACAAATTCATATATCAGTTATGTTAACTTACCTACAGTTTGTCCTTGTGATCTTGTAGCATATAAATTTTAGGTTGCACATGCTTCAACTGCACCCTGGGTTTAGAAGGAAATATAGAAAAGTAAGCACCTTAAAGTTTTGAACTTTATAGTTAAATAAAAAAAAATGGTAATCATCAATTAATAATTAAAAAGAATATTAAACCTAATCATCATAAACATATTTGATTTCTAAAGATGGGATTTTTGTTTCTCCTCCTTGCTCACCCCCATCTGATGACTTGATTATTGAAATCCCTTGTTAATAATTTAGATGATATTAAGAAATAATCAACCTCCAAAAAATTGAAATTTTTGAATGCATTGCTTCTCTAGAAGGCATTCCCCGTTGCAACACATTATTTTCATTTTGTCAACAACAAAATAAAAAATAACATGCAGGTCACTTTGGCAAGTAATTTTAGTGCATGACAACCAACTTAGACATAATTTCAACACCATGACATTTTTAAAACGCCAACTGTTAGTCATTAGAAGGAAGGATGGAGGAAGATTATGCAAAATAACTGTCTTATTGTTAAATTTTGTGAAGTAAAAATCAGGGAAAAATAATTTACAGCCACAAGTACCATTTCTATAATTACTCTATGAAAAATGGGCATCTAATTGTGGGGAGACATGAAGTATACCTACACAGATGATGTGCTTTTACTTGTATGATCTGTTAACTTTCCATAAAATTAAGAACCTTCACTTTTAGGATATGATCAGCTTCCTATCTACACACAAAGGTGGTCAATAGTACTAAAAAAAGATTTTAAGGTAAACGATAATTGATAGAAAGACATAACTCCTCTAAGTTGGAACGTTACCTTTGTTGCCTAAAATATTCTAGCACATCTTCTGTAGAGCTTCAATTAAAATCAGGTTCTCCAACGAGCATAAAAGCAGGTGTCCACCAAAAAAGTCATAATTAATAACAACCAAATTGAAACTTATCATAATTCATCTCTAATTGAAAATTTACAAACAAACACATACTCTAATCATCAGTCAAACATAAGCAAACAAACAACAAACGATTATCTAGATTCTAATTTCAATGATGAGTTATTAAATTAATTAAAGCAATTAACTAATCTCAACTGATGATCCAAATTGAAAAACATAACCATAAATAACGAATAAAGAAACTCAACTTTGTAAAACAAAATTCAAGTAAAAAACTCCAAATAAGGATCAGTTCATTGAGCAAGTCATTTATGATTTGATCATGTCTTCAAGTTTCCTAGATTACTGGAGGCTGCTAATCGAAACGGGTGTGAGTTGAAGTATTGATCCTGAAGAAATAATTTTTTAAGCTATAGGTTTGAAGTCAGACAAGGTGTTAATTTCTCAAGAATGGTAAAAGGATACAGAGAAAAGGGAGATGGGTAACAAATTAATAGTAGAAGACGGTTAAAGGCTTACACGATATGGAGGTAACCAAGAGAACAATCACCTTTAAGCTGCAATACAACTGTTGCCTCCATTCCAACATTGTACACCTGTTAAATTTCCAATTATTTAACACAACATATTATCTAATTTCATAAATCCTGAATGAATAAGAACAAATCTTGAAAATTAGGAGTTCTAAGATACCTTAAAAGTGATAGGAAAGATGCTATGTTTCTTGTGCGTTTGCTTGGAACTGTTAAATAGAAATGTGCAAACAAAGCCCAGAACTAAACTGGAAGCCCTAACCTGAACACATCAATAAGCACACAATTATGAAAAACTAAAAAATCAAAAATCAAATTGGTTACCAATCAACTGTAGGTGGGTACACTATTGGAAAGCAAAGGGCATTTTAGTCATTATAGGTCCCCAAATCCTCCTCTTAATTTTTGGTCCCTTTGTTTAGCTATTTTTGAAAGTACTCAACCACCAAAAACCTCCTGCTTGATTTCTAGTACAAAATAAAATATATATATATATATATATATATATATATGTTGAAAATTCATAATTAAAAGTAGAAATTCAACAAGGAAATTCGTAAACTTTAAAAATAGACGTGTTAAAGGAAAAAGCAACATGAATCCCTATTAATTTATGATTATCTCTTCAGGTGGAGGAGGTGTTGGCAGGCCTTTAAATCCCAACCAAAAATCAATTTACTGATTTGACCAAGTTCTCATCTTCGGAGTCTGGTATAAAAGTCGTGTCTCTGAAAGATTAATAAAACATAGAAGAAGGCAAGCGGTGCAGGTATAATAGGGTCGTGGCAGAACATGGTAGGAGGAAGAGCTGAATACAGCATCAGTCTTTGAAAGATTAATACCACTTGTGGCCATACAAACTGAAATAAAGCTATCAATCATCAGTCTTAGATTCCTCTGTTTCACTTGCTGCATATACCTGCTCTGAGTTATTCCATGTGTACCTACTTGTGAAATAACTTGTGTCCAGTGCACTCTCTGATGAAGGCACAAATGCAGCCTGACACAAAACATAGCTATTTCTATTTTCTACTTTCTTTTAAATGATCATATCAAACAAAGTTTAATAGTTAATGGATTTCATGCACCTTTTTCCTGGAAAGGGTATCCCAGTTAATATCCCTAAAATATGGATGTTGTTTCACCTGCATTTATCAAATTATCCAGCTTCCTGTTCACAATGATTAATGTTGATCATGACAAAGAAGAAAGCAGACCTCGGTTGCTCCCCTAGCTCCAAGTCTCTGGTTAGGATCTTCTTTCAGTAATCTGCACAATGATTGAACTTAGAAAAATGTATTTAAATTTTAAAGATGATAATTAAAAAGTTTCTCTTATTAATCAATGAGATCCTGGGCATCAGGGTTCATTTCATCAGGCACTGCAGGCCAGGGTATGTTACGGTTGAGAATGTTGTCAAATATCATCTGAAAAAACAGTGAAGAAAAGGTAAGATTACAACAACTAACAAAGAAGTGAAAGTAGAACCCCAACCCCAACCCCACTTGAGGGTGCTCTGCATTGAAAGGAGGAATGCCAACAATTAGCTCAAATAGTATTACACCAACAGACCACCAATCCGCTAATATACCTGAAAGATATTTGAATAAAACATTTTAATGCATGAGATTTTATAAGAAATTCATGTCATTATTATATCAAGTTAGTTGTGAACAAACCATGTCCATTTCCCAGAAGAATCTTGGGTGCCAAATAGTCTGGAGTTGTCCAACAGCAGAGCGGTTTTTGTGTCTTTCTTGCTGAGTCTCAGTGGCAGACATAGATGGAGATGAGAGAGACGACTGAGTCCTATTATCACCCAATAGTGATGTGCCACTCACTGCTGGACCAGATACATCATTTTTACTGTTAATTAGGCCAACCTTTGACAGCCCAAAATTTGTTAACTGCTAACAAAACACAAAACAATTATTACCAAAAAAGATCTTCATTAGAACCCTAAAAAGATTCAACAAGTTGATTAATTCTGAAATAACTGTGAGAATTGCTTAAACTTAATTGTTGTTGGAAAAAGAAATTTTGCCTCAGATAAAGAGCATTCTAGAGTATGCCATTCTGACCATTGATGTAACAGTTCTTCAAGCTTCTTTTTGCTCTTCCTAAAATTTTAAAACATATTATTATTTAGTTATTGAGTCATAAATAATATCTCCATTACTAGACTAATAATAAAATCTATTATATTGACATCAACCTTGATAATAACTTATAAATAATTTGAACAGAATTTGGTTCATTGTCATCCTGAAGTGCCCTTTTAATAGTTGTCATCTGTAAGTTCATAACAATCAGTATCAGATCCATTGATTATCTAAAAACTTGATTTTACAGCTACAAACATTTAATGATGCAGAATGGTTTATACAAAATTTAAAAAAAGCCTTCAAAGTATATATGTTTAATCCAATGTATACCTCTATGTATGCTTAACATGCCCCAATTTCATTTGGTAAAAGAAGAGTAACCAACACCTAGCCTTTGATCACTGGTTCTTGTTAGTTTTTGGTCAATGCATAGGATTTTTAGATTGAAATTAACTTCTTATCCTGATCATATTATAAATCCAATATGATGCAGATGTAGCTTTAGATTCGTATGATGAATCAGATGTTTGGTTAAAAAATGAAATTTTTATTTATTTGCAGTAGTGATCCAAAAGATTTATTATAGAGGTTGGAAATTCAATACCAACATTATACTCAATTTCATAAAGAATGCAAATCTTACACGAAAGGTTAATCTTTAATGTTAGAATGTGACAAGTTTGAACCCATCAGTTAACTAACCATGAAATCAATAATGGGGATAACAAGTGTGCGGAAGAATAAAACATAAGCAAACAAATCGGGTAAGATAGATTGAAGTTTGAATCAAACATGGATGAAAAACGAGCTCAAATACGTAAAAAAAAATGAAGATGAATATAAAAATAAATATGTACCGTTTAATCTTCTTCTATTTCTTCAGCCTCATGTTTAAAAAATCTTCCACCTCTTCATCCGCTAACCCTCCTTACGCACGAAACAGGTGACGACGCTCGAGAAGTCAACCATCTGATGTAATACCTTCACCATTATTCCCTTGTTGTGAGCGTAAGTAGTCATAGAGCCCTAATCGCCAATTCTATGAAGGATTTTTTGAGGTACGATTCGAAGGGTAAAAAGCCCTAGTTCTTCGTCGATTTTTTTGATTTTGTGAGAAGGGGCGTTGAAGCGAGGTTTAAGAATTATAAGATGAGGATCGTAAGAACGAGGTTTTAGATGAGATCGCCGGTGAGGGAAGATTAATGGAGATGGAAACTAGGGTTTTAGAGGGAGATGGAGGAGAAGAATAAGAGGTTAGATGTTCTTGAAAAAAAAAAAGCCCTAGTTTTAGTCCCCATTTCTTAATAGGAACGCGCGTTTGTAAAATTATAAAGAGACATTTCTAGACGACACGCGTTTAACATAAGCAACCTCCGTGTTTTTTTTCTTTTGTCAGACACTAATTTTAGGGCTCGCAAAAATGCGCGTCCTAAATTCTTCAAATTTCACTTTTAGGGCACGCCTTTTTGCTTATCATTAATCAGTGTGTGTCGTAAAAAGCTTATCATTAAAGGTCTGTTTTCTAGTAGAGATTGTGTACAGTATCCCACAAAATCATATCTGTTTGAGTTGGCTTCAAGCTTGTGTCTGTAATATGTGACTAATGTATAACATGCACAACCAAAAACACATAAATGAGTGATTGTAGGCTTGAATCCATACCATGCTTCAAACGGACTTTTGTTCCTTATAACTTTTGTAAGAGATATGTTGATTAGGTATACAGCGGTAGAAACGGCTTCAGCCCAATAAACATCAGGTAGCTTGCTTATGTTTAACATTGATCGAGCCATCTCTTCAATGGTTCGATTCTTTCTCTTTGCAATCCCATTTTGGTATGTGGTATGTGGATCTGTCATCTCTCTTTTTATCCCTTCTTTCTCACATAGGGTAATGAATTCCCGTGACATGAATTCTCCCCCTCTATCAGTCCTTAGAGTGTTGATTTTAGTGTTTCCTTGTTTTTCAATAAGAGCTTTGAATTTCTTAAAGTGTTTTAAGGCTTCAGATTTTGTTCTAATGAAATATAACCAACAAACATATGGGTAAAGTCATAAATGAATAGCAAGAAATACTTATTGTCTGAGTGACATTCATTCTTCATTTGACCACAAATCTTAGCACACACTAATTCCAATTTCTTAGTTACTCGTCTTGCCTTGCCCTTTGGAAAAGACCTCCGTGATTGCTTTCCTAGAACACATCCTTCACATACATGTTTTGAGTCATGTATGGAAGGTAAACCATTTACCATTTTCTTACCTGACTGTAACATCCGGATTTTACCAGGTATCTTGTAAATTTAATTTTGTTGAATTGTGAGGGGGACTCGGCGAGTTGGAGCTCAGACTCGCCAAGTAGGGACGTGGAATTGGACAATGGATCGCGCCTGGACTCGGCGAGTCTGCGCTGTGTAGAGAAACCCTAAAATCCCGGGCTTGAGGCCTATTTAAAGGGCCTTATGGCCGTCATCTGTGCTCACCCAACCCTTAGAGAGAGACCCTTGTGTTCTTGAGTGATTGTGGAGAGAGAGGAGCATTTCTTGACCTTGTGTGTGCCATTTAGCAAAGAAGAAGGAGATTCTAGGCAAGAGGAAGCAAAGGAGGCTGCTATTTCGTGGATTTGGAGCTTAGATCATCAATCTAGAGGTATGATTTCGGTCCATATTCTGTTTGGTGAAGCATTATGCGATTTAGGGCTTATTATGGTCATTTATGGGATGATTTGATGCCCAATGGTTCCCTCCTTGTGTTGAGGTTATGGATCTGGATCCATAGAGGTCCAGAGAGCCTCACTCATCAAGCTTTATGTATAACAATGGAGTCTAGGACCTTGTGTTGTGGTATTTGAGTCAAAAACATCATATATGGTCATATAGAGATTGTATGTGCATCAAGATTGTAACTTTACGTGCTAAATGAGCTTGGAGGGACTGGATCTATGGATTAATGGACTGGATCTGACCTTATGAGCAAGATTGAGTCATTGCATGGCACGGACTCGCCGAGTCTGAAGAACAGACTCGGCGAGTAGCATGAATGTTGCCCGACCACACAGTGAGTGGTCTTGCCGAGTTGGGGAGGGTGGACTCAGTGAGTCAAGGGGGAGTCAGAATGGACCGGTGGACTGAGTCAAACTGGACTCGCCGAGTTGTTCTTGAGACTCGGCGAGTTGAGTCGTGGTGGCCCCACAACTCATGCCAGGTGGAACTCGTCGAGTTGAGTGAATGCTCGACGTGTCAAGGGAGGATTCCAGGGAAATTGGTGTATACGCTCAGACTCGCCGAGTCGCTATAGCGCACTCGCCGAGTCCGGTCAAAGTTGACCGTTGACCGTTGACCTAAATTGACTTGTTATAGTGTGGTCAACCCTAGTTGGGAAAGTGTTAATTAGGGATGTATTGTGCTATAGGGGGACTACAGCTCGGCAGATCGAGTGATTAGCGATTTCAGGTTTACGATTTACCGAGACACACGAGGTGAGTCTTCTCACTATACTTTACCTTGAGTAGGTAACCAGAGTTATGTGATAGAGTATTTGTATGCTATGTATGTTATGTGTTGTACTGCATTATTTCTATGTGATTTATGTGGTGCATGTCTATCAGAGCTAGAACCTGAGGGTTCACAGAGTTTGGGTGCACGGACCCACAGAGTTATAGCCTAGAGTGGCTAATATGTGTTATATGTGGTATTTTGGGGAACTCACTAAGCCTTGTGCTTACAGTGTTTGATGTTATTGTTTCAGGTACTAGTGACGACCGCGGGAAGGCGCCGGCTTGATCCGTACACACACACGTTCGGAGCTTGATATTATGATCTTGGGATTTTGTATTGTCTTGTTTGGATAATTAAAATGGTTGTTTTTATGAATATTGATGGAATTATGTTTTATAAAAATTGAAAATTTTGTTTTGAAATTTACGGTGTTACAAATTGGTATCAGAGCCTTGGTTTGAGGGATTCGGGTACACCTTCGGGGGTATTTGAACTCAAACTGAGGAACTGAAGAGATATTTTCAAAATAAAACCAAAATCTTCTAAGAGTAAAAGATTTTCCAGGAAGAAACGTGTGTACGATCAGTCAGCGCCCGAACGGTGAATTCCCAAAATACCTTTATATTACGTGATAATTATTATTAATATGATGTGTTTGTATGCTAGAGTAGGCTAGGTATTGCTAATAGGACTAGAGTGGCCTGTTTTGTGATGCCTTAGCCTAGGGAGGGGTGAGCTGCTATGAGATGCTGAGAGTAATTAGGTAGCAGCTAGGGCTTTGTGTGAGATCTGTTACAAAGTGATTTAAGTATAATAGAGTACTTGGGGATTGGGATCCGAAGAGGAAGATTTGGGGTGTGTACTGTGACGGTGCGGACAGTAGTATTGGGCCCGTACTACTGAAAGCACCGGTGCGGTACACAGTCCAAATAAGAATCTTGGGATACCAAGAATCAAGGAGGGGTGGATTGTCGAATGTAAGGGTGTTCGAGTGAATTCTAATTATCGCATGTTGTATTTCAGAGGTTGATCATGGTGAGGACACGTCACATGCCGGAGGATGCCGGAGCTAGTGATGAGGAGATTCGACAGATCATTCATGAGGAGGTGGCTGCGGTCATCAGAGCTGAGATACCAGAGATGTTCGGGTCTATTAAGACCGCGTTGATTGAGACATTTGACGAGCGCTATGCCGCTCTTTCTGAGGCTGCTGTTGCAGCGGCTACCGCAGCGATCGCTGCGGCAAGACCCCAGGGAGGTGATGCGTCATTGTTTAGGGAGTTCAGCAACACCAAACCACCAGAGTTTGATGGTACGCAGGATCCGGTGGCAGCTATGAGGTGGATATCTGATATGGAGGGATGCTTCTTCACTTGCTCGTCCCCTGAGCATTTGAAGGTTCGGTTCGCGCTGAACCAGCTTCGCTTGGGAGCGAAGGACTGGTGGAAGTTTGTGACGGCGCACTTCACACCTACTGAGCTTTCGGCAGTGACCTGGGAGAGGTTCACTACCATGTTTCGAGATGAGTACGTTCCTCAGGTGGAGAGGGAGCGTCTGGCACAGGAGTTTCTGACCCTCAAGCAGGGTACCGAGTCAGTTACAGCGATTACGAGGATGTTTCATGAGAGGGCGATGTTCTGCCCTGAGCACGTGTCCACCGAGCAGGCACGTATGAGCCGTTACCTGAGCATTCTGAGACGGGATATTCGGGAGTTCGCTGCGAA